GTGTGTGTGTGTGTGTGTGTGTGTGTGTGTGTGTGTGTGTGTGTGTGGGCAAAGCAGACCAAAACAAAAGGTACATGAAAATGTCTGGTCACAGCTTTGTCTCCATTATTACCTCTCTGAAGGTGCCGGGGGCGAGGTACATCTTAACGACGAACATGATGGGGATCCAGATGACGGAGCAGGAGACCATGAGCCAGCCCATAACCATGGACCAGTTGGGGTAGGTGTAGTCCTCGTACGTCATCCCCTTCCACTGGTACAGACTAAGTCCCAGGATGCCCTGCACAGACCAGGGAATCCAGGAAATGTGTGTTAGGTCAGATGCCTTCTCTGTTACCTTCAAGAACTACTACAGCAGTGTCCTTGAGCTTCAGCTAATGCTTAGTGACGCTGCTGAGTGGCGACAGCTAAGGCTGTGGTTGTACTGGTCAGCTCCACAGGTATAATAAACTGCTAAATGTATAAAAATACCCACGTTTATCATTTGCAATATGTCAATACTGGCATTATATAGTATATACAGTATTATACTATTCATTACTGGTGTAAAGCTGTAACTCTGTGCATGTTGTGCTCATAGACTGGAGTCGTTTGTGGACTGCGGTTTTGAAGCCTGGAGTTCGGAGTTTTGGCCGTCGCCATCTTGGCTTTGAGTGAAGGGAAGTGATCATAATTGTTATGCAAAGGAGTGACGTAGAGACGCAGATGTCTGGTAGCGGGAACCTGTCAATCACAGTAAGCCCCGCCCTAAAGCATACTCTGCTTCATGGTCTATTTGACTCTAAATGGGACCATAGTTTACTAAATGAACATCATGTTGTATGGAAGACTTGGAACTAGTGATTGAGAACATAAACTGATAATTACACCGTTTACTGAGGGAATAAATCAGAGGAGTCGCCCCCTGCTGGCCATTAGAAATAATGTAAGTTTAAGGCACCTCAGCATTGGCTTCACTTGCCGCCTGGTTGTGCTGTAAATTGTCAACAGAACCTGGAAATGCATAATTCTATAGTTGTAGCTATTTTGTAGCTTTTCCTAAGATTTTGAAAGCACTAGTTTCCTTTTGAGAACTCTATAAAACATTTGCAGCCATTTGGACAGTTTCGTCCCACAGAAACATCTCGTAAGTTCTTCGTCTGAAGGTCACTGTCAAGCTGCAGAGAAAAACCAAGATGACCTCCGGTTCTGTAACGGGACCGTCACGAATGGACTGGTTTTACTGACTGACGCACAAGTCTGCAAGTTGTGTTCCAACTTCATGCTCCTCATAACTTCTACCACTAGTCTTACTAGAGTTCAATACATGTAATGTCAGAAAACCCCACAAGCCTTCAGGGAAACAAATCACTCATGCAAAGCTAGTGTGAGGCTAAACTATGAAAGCAAATATGAGGGATTACTTCTGTAATTGATCACTAAATAACTTGCCATCTCTGCATCCGTCAGATGTAAATCCTAAGGATAAAAATGACTGTACATCTTGAAATAATGGCCAACATTTTTGGACTTATGGTCTGATGTAGTCAACAAGGACTGTACAGTAGGTTTCTTCCCAATTAACTGTACTGGACTCAGTCAGGACACACAGCTAAAGCTGTGTCCACTGTTCCATATCAATAAGAGGATGGATGACGGTGTAAATGAGACCTTCCTTTTTACTATATGTGCAGTGAGTACAAAAAAAGGGACAGGGTTGGAAAGAAATATATACCTCCTATCTACAGCAAATTTGTCTGAGAAGGATTAGAATAAGTGGAAGAAAATGAAAACAAACAGAAAAAAAGGAAGGCAGACAGAAATAGATTAGCTTGGGGGTCGTGCATCAATGGGCTCCCCGAGGAAATCTGATCTCTCAAAGAGAGAGAGAGAGAGAGAGAGAGAGAGAGAGAGAGAGAGAGAGAGA